CATGCACACTTCTCAGTTTGACTAAAAAAAAACTTCCGGATGGGCCTTGGGAGCATGCAGATTAGAATCAGGCTCCCAGAAGTTCTCGACCGGTCCATAGCCTTTCCACTTGATGAGAAACTGCAGCTGCCCCCCCCCTTTTCCGACAATCGAAGATTGCCTCGACTTCGTGTTCCTCGTCACCATCCACAACAGCAGGAGCAGGGGGACCGGGGACCAGTGTCCTGATTGGGGAAAGGATCCAACATGGCAGGCTTAAGCAGAGAAACGTGGAATACAGGGTGGATCCGGTAGGAAGCAGGCAAGGTAAGTTCATAAGCAACAGGATTGATCCCACACTTAACAGGAAACGGCCCAAAAAAACTCAGGGCAAGCTTTTTAGACGAACAGGCCAACTACAAATTCAGAGTAGACAACCAGACCTTGTTCCCAGGTTGGAGATCCAGTTCCCCCCTCCTCTTCTTATCGAAGCAGAGATTGGTGTATCTTTGTGCTTTAGCAATAGAATCCTGCATTGTTTTAACATTGGCCCGGAGGAACTGCACCCTCTCCTGCACAGCCGGAACTGAGGAGGCCAAGCCCGCAATGGGAAAAAAGGAGGGATGGAATCCAACATTGGCTGTGTTATATGCAAATTCAGCAAATGGAAGGAGGGACACCCAATCATCTTGAGAGAATGGAGAAGCATCGTAGGTACTGCTCCAAGGTCTGGTTTGTGCGTTCAGTCTGACCATTCGTTTGAGGATGATAGGCCGAAGAAAAATGGTTGGCAATGCCCAGTGCAGTACAAAGCCCCCTCCTAGAACTTGGAAGTGAACTGGACTCCCCTGTCACAAACAATGCTGCTAGGGACACCATGGAGGCGGACCACCTCCTTGAGAAACGTCTGAGCAGACTCAGACGCTGACGGGGTACCCACCATCGGCACAAAGTGGGCCATCTTGATCCACAATAACAAAAATGGTAGAAAAACCCTCCGAGGGGGGGGAGCTCCACAATGAAGTCCATGGCAATTATATCCCATGGGCGGGACGGAATTGGAAGCAGCGTCAGCAATCCCCAGGACTTCATTCTTTCTGTCTTATGCTGGATGCAAATCCTACAGGACTTCACAAACTTGTGGCAATCACATTGCAGCCCCGGCCACTGAAAGTCCTCCACAACAGCTCAAGAGTCTTGAGAACCCCGAAGTGGCCCGCCAAGGGATGGTCATGACACAGCTGCAAGACTCACACTCTCAGATCTGGAGGCACGAAGACCCTTTGGTCCCGGAAGAACAACCCCTCCCCTTCCAGAAGATCCACGCCCGCCGGCAAGACATCTTTTGAGGAAGCCCGTCTCAGTAGAGAAAGCAGGTCAGCCTCCATCAGCAAAAAACTGTGCGCAGGCAAGATGGTATCAGGGGAATCAGGCTCCTCCGACTCCGGAAACATGCGAGACAGGGCATCAGGCTTAACATTCTTCGAGCCGGGGCGGTAGGTAATATGCAGGGAAAAGAAGAGCGCCCATCTAGCCTGACGAGGCTTCAAATGCCTGGCAGTCCTCAGGTATTCCAAATTCCTGTGATCCGTAAAGATCAAGACACGGTGGGCCACGCCCTCCTGCAGATAGCACCACTCATCCAAGGCTAATTTAATGGCAAGAAGCTCCCGGTCCCCGACGTCATAATTGCTCTCCGCCGGGCAGAGTTTCCTGGAAAAAAAAGCGACAGGGTGGAGAAGAGCCTTCACACCCCGACGTCGGGACAGGACAGCTCCAACAGCAGTTTCAGAGGCATCCACCTCAAGGACATAGGGAAATGCTGGGTTGGGGTGCTTCAGGATAGGAGCAGAGGTAAACAGTCCTTTGAGCTTAGCATAAGCATTTTGTGCAGCTGGGGACCACTGGAATTTTAATGGACACGTGCCAGTTCAATCTTTCAATGTCTCGGACAACCCTAGACGGAACTGGTGACGTAGGGCCGCTTCATTCCAGTTGGTGTCAGCCCTCCATTTCCGGAACTCCACTACAAAGTCTTCGACAGGCCATCGGCCATGTTGCAGGGAATGAAGAATGGCTTCAGCAGTGGAGGAACGCTCGGGGTCATCATATGGCCTCGAAAAAAGAACTTAGGGTGTTCAAAACGGGGCTTTCATTCTCCAGAAGGTGATGAGCCCAAGATTGGGGTTCTCCAGAGAGTAATGAAATAACAAATCCAACCTTGGTCCCTTCTGAAGTAAATGTCCTGGGTTGTAAGGTAAAGTACAGTTGACAGGCTTTTTTTAAACGCACAGAATTTCATGCGGTCTCCTGAGAATCGCTCTGGAGTGGGCACACGGGGTTCTGGAGAAGCAGAGGCGGCAGCTCCTTGTACAGAGGCTGGAGGATTGGGAGCAGGAGTAGCAAACACCGAGGAAGCCATGGCTATCACGCGTCCTTCAAGCTGAAAGTACCCCTATTGCAGATTCTTCACCGCTTGGGTGAGGGAGGCTAGTTGCTGGCACAGAATCTCCATCGGGGAGGCACTCCTCTCGGTCTCAGACATTTTGGCTGGATGGTACTATCATGTACCTGGTAGAGAACCGAGTAGTGAGGAGGCTTCCTTTGCAACTCTTGTCCCGCACCCCTGAGAGTGGTGACAGGGAGTGAGAGGACAGAGAGCAGCACCGGTGCCAGAGGGTGCAGGGCACTGTGCCTGGGTGAGTCCCAAGCTGGTCTCCAAGGAAGCAGGTGTAGATGCAGCTGGGAAGACCACCAGGAACTGGAGTAGGACAAGGTCAGGTAGGCCAGGGTCAATACCGATCGGGCAGCGAAGTACAAGGCGGCAGGCAGAAGAGTAATCGAGGAGCAAGCAGAGGTCAAGTGCGGCAGCAGTCAGGTGTAGTCAAGGAGATCCGGGTCAGGCAGCAGAATACTGGAACAGGCAGAGGCACAGGAACACACACACAGGAGCTGAAAGACTATCCAGCAATGATCCATAGGACTGACAAGTTTAAATAGGGCCATCAATCCAGAGAAGCTGCATCACTTCCTGCACGCCACGTTAGCACGTTCCTGCGTGCATATATGTTGAGCGTGCATGCGCAATAGCGCCCGTTTCACGCAAATGCGGAAGAAGCATCCGCACGGCCAGATATTGTCTTACAAGGTCATGTTTGAAGGCTGGCCGAAGGCTAGCCTGGATTTGTGGGAGGAGCCTGTGCCTTTAAAGACGGCACGGCTAACAGGGGATTTACGTCGGCGGGTCACGAACGTCATCTTTACTTCCGGGTTGGTGACGTCAGCTACGAGCTCTCCACGAGACAGACGGTTTTGCGATAGCCAGGCTCTCCCACTTCACCTACGAGTGCTTTCAGAGGAGTTACGATCGGACCTTGCGGCATCTGTTTGTTTTCGGGCACATCCGGTTACGGCTTTTTCTTTTAAGACCTCGGCATGACTGAGCCGGGGGGGAGTA